GTGGCTGGCACGGCCAGCGGGGCCAACGTCGGCGGCTGCTGGCTTGTGGCGTGGCTGAAGGTGCCGACGGAGGGGATGGTGCTGGGGGATGCTCCGGTCACCGGTTTGGCTTTGCCTGGGGAAGGGCAGAGGAGATGGGTTGGAGAGATGCTGCTGGTGGAGCGATAGCAGCTCGACTGCGCAAAGGATGGGGGTAGAGAGTGGGGGAGCACCCAAATTACCCACACCCGGGGAATGGACACCCTCCTACGGGGGTCCCGGGGGAGCTGCAGCCCCATGGAACCGCCGTGAAACCCAGCGTGGGGCACCCTCGGGAGCAGCGCTCCCCACGGTGGGTCACTGCCCGGGTGAGGGGAGGCAGGGGAAGGGCATTTGGGGGCTTCTCATGGGGCAGTTTAGGGAGAAGGGAGAGGTTTGGGTGATTTGGGGAGGAATAAGTGTGGGAAATGGAGGGACAAAAAGGAGCGGTTGTGTGTGAGCGGTTTGCTGAGCTGTGCGTGGCTCTCTCGGGCTGGGGGATCCAGCAGGAGGTATTTTCCTCTGCCAGCTGCCGGCTCCAAAATTAGCAGCAATTAAAGCGGTGTCAGGCCCTGAACTGCTCACCCGGGAATGGGGAGCTGGAAAGGGAAGGGACCGAGGTCGCCCGGCCAGCAGAGGGGGAGTCCCCGTGGGCTGAGCTTCGGCTGGTGTCTTCCAACCCTCCGCCCAAATTCACACAATATATTCATATTTCTTAGTTATCGCGAACATCCGAGTAAGAGGAAACCTTGCTCCTGATCCATATTTATCACTCGCAAAAGTAATTACTTGGTTTTTGAGCAACCTCTTGTATTTATTCTGCTCGACTTCTAATAATGGCAACCCTCGAGTATAAAATCCACTTAATCCGCATCTATTTTTGTAAAAAGAAAAACGACCCTTTTCCTGCCTTTTCCTTTGGCAAAAAAAAAAAAAAAAAAAGTTTCACCAAATAAATACTTTTTTTCAGCTAAGAGCCAGACGTGCCTTGGGTTTGGTTCCTCGCCCAGAAATAACTACAGGACTGGAAGATTTAGAAAAGCCTTTTTTTTTTTCTTGGTCGGTCGGTTGGTTGGTTTTTTTGTTTCCTACCAAAACCAAGCACAGATAACACCCAGCACTTCCCAAATTGCAAAGACCGTGCTACGGGGCAGTGATGCCGCCAGCTCCGATGGGTTTTGAGTATCCTGACATGCTTTTCCTCCCCTCCAGCCCGCGGCAGCAGGACCAGAGCATCCCGCAGTGTGGAGGGACGCTCGCCACCTCCTCTTACCAACCGGCCTCAAACAAGCTATGAACCTGCCCATGTTTCGGCAAAAGCAGGGGGATCTGCTTGTGCTCTGTGTCACGGAGGTGACAACCAGAGAAAAGTCCTATTAATAAATAAAGCACAAGAGTGGCAGCAGAGGGGACGGGATGGGGCGCTCGCAGGCGGATTCGGGATGGATCTGCAGGAGGATCATCGTGTCGGTCGCAAAGCAGCGAGGAATAAAGCGGGATCTCCCCGACGGCTGCTTCCCAGAGCTGCACTCCATGTGAGAAGGGACGCACCCGCAGCGAGCTCAGCCCCCCGCGGCGAGGGGGAGAGGAAACCCAAGCCCCTGCTCTACATGACTGCAGGAAAACCGAGCTCCCCAGCGAAACATCGCTGCAACAAGTGTCCTCTCTATTTTAAGCACGTGTTTGAGGGCTCTCCTCGATGCAGGATGCTTTTCCCCATCAACTCCCGCAGAAGGAATCAGTTTTTGCTAACTCCTAGGCTGGAGCAGGGTCTGCACTGATGGGCACAGCTCATTCTCCCGGCTCCGACCCAGCGGTCCAGAGCCCAACTTCGCTTGCAGGGATGGACGGACCAGGGGCAGCCCAGGGAAGGAGTCCCAGGGAAGGAAGGTGTCTTACCGGCCGCCTCCCCGCTGCACGAGCTCTGGGTGCTGGGTGGGACGTCCTCTCTGCCCGGGTGGCTGGTCTCTCCCGGGGAGCCCCGCGCTATATCCCGTGGTGGTATCTCCAAGGCTTTCCGGTCCTCCTCGGCCGGGAGCGGGGTGTCCACACCGACCTCCAGCACTCGGATGGTTTCATGGCTGGACATGACAATAACCTGCAAATGTGCCCCAAAATGTCCATCAGCTCCAGGCATCCGACCCCATGGCAGTGTCCCCCATCCACGCACCCCAGGGCGGAGCGAAGCAGCTCCCCGTGTCCCGCGGGACATGTCTTAGGATGACCTTTAAAACAAACCAAGCAGAGCCCACATTGTCCCCTCAAAGAGGGATGGGATGAGGGGACTGCAGTCCCTCCAGCACCTCGCTGCTTTAGTTACTCAGCAGCTTCTGGGCTCTGATAACCCCAGTTCCACCTGCATTGGCACATTACACCCTCAGCAGGTAAAGGACGGCTGTCGGTGGTCACAGCAGCGCCGGCAGTGCTGGCAGCACCGTATCTGCAGCACCAGAGCGAGCACTCATCTACAACCCCATGGCTCTGACCTGGGGTCGGACGAGCCGTCTGAATCACCATACGATTTCCCCCATGTGACACTACTTGGGGACACACGGGGAGTGTGGAGCAGGGATACCAGCTCCTCCTCCAGCTCTCCCGCGGCTGCAGGCACCCAAACCCCAGAGCGAAGACCTCTTGCAAACTGCACCCGTAGCCTTGCCAAGCTGCCGGGATGAGGACCTCGTGCCTCCTCTTCATCATTAAAAACCACCCGAGATGAGGCAGCCAAGCTCCAAAAGGTGGAGCGGAACATCTGCGTGCCCAAGCGTGGGGGCAAACAGGCTGGTTGTGAGCCTGAGGCAGGCACAGGGTGTGCCCCACAC